AAAAAAAAAAAAAAAACAGAACTCAAACAGCAGTTTCTATTATCATCTCAGCTGCAGCACCCATAGCATCAAACCCACTTATCATGAGAAGTGCCACAGCCATTTCATCCTCATTCCACCTTCTTCTCAGCCCTTTACCAATCCTCTTCAAAACCTCCACATTGAGTTCCAACAACCATTTAGGAGCACAACTGATCACCAAATCCAAATAACCCGTCACGTAGGCCCTCCAGGTAGCCTCGTCACACCCGAGCGATATTTTCCCGTCGAGGGCCCCTGCAAGAAACTCGAAATGCGCCCCGAGCACGTTCCTCCTCCTTCGGGAAGCAGCCGAACGCGAGTCCAGTCCCCAAGCAAACAGCCCGCAAAACATGCTGAAGTACGCGAGCGCGTGCCCGCAGAGCGTGCGGCCCGCCGGCCCGATGACCCTGTTGTTGCAGGATATAAACCAACACGGCAATATCTCCTTGACTAGAGTCTCGACCGAGCCTGGCCCGCCTGTGATCCAGACTAGAGAGGCTCCGAGCGAGGCTGCCGTCTTGACCCGAGTCGAGGCGGACACAAAGGAAAAAAACCGGTCGTGGTGGGGCCCACCGCTAGTTCTCGAGATGTCGGTAACAACAGTGTCCATTAGAACGGACACGACTTGTTTGGTCAGTAGCTGGAGGCTCCGTATGGAGCGGTGGACTCGGAAGTAGAGCCTTCCGGGGGCCGAACATTGAGAGCCGAAGGTGTCGTGGCCCAAGAGGGGCCCCACGGCGCCGTGCACGGCGAAGCAGGCCCTAAGGAGTTGGGCCATGGCATTGCTGTCGTGGTGGAAAATGGACCGGGCCGTGAGCCCGATGAGGTATTCGGGCCACTTCTTGGACTTCTGGGCCCAAATGGCGGCCATGATGGACATGCAGGGACGGGGGCAGCTGACGGCGAGTGACGTCATGGGAGCTCTGATCACTTGCAGGTAGCTCCTGCCGTCTCGGTTGAGTTTGTATGTTATGATGAGACCGATGAGAGCCGCCAAGGGGAGTGGGAGAGAGATGGGGGAGCTTGATTCTGCAAGCAAAAAGAATGGCTAGTCAACAAAATGTTAGTGCTGATATTTTTTTTGCAACAACCGACCATGAGGAGGCTTTAGTCGAATTATTTTTTGCCAAATCCGAATGAAACCCATATAGTTCTCAAAGTTACAAGTTCCCTCTTAATATTTGTTTCTTTTAGAATCTACACCATCAAGTTAAGGAGTATTGGGTAGTATTTGTAGCTCTTTTCAAGGGGCATTCATAATATTCAGAGATAAATGGAGCTGTTCTAAGATAGATAAAAACTTAATGTAGACCCCAGAGACGCACCTAAGAAAGGACATGGGACCTTCACACCATTGGCAGCCAAGATATTATTTGTCTGTCTTTCGATCATGGATAAATTTGCACCGGGGCTTGGCCAGTCGACTCCATTCATAGAAGCATGCTTCCAAAGACCCCGACTCACTTCTGCTGAATAGTACGAAAATATAGTCACCAAGGAAGCAGGGAGGATATCCACAATACATTTGAGCCCTGAGAACAGATAACGTCGATACAGGTGTCACTTCAGTATACTATTCCTAATGCTCATCATCTAGGACGAACAAGATATACTGGAAATAAGGTCATTATATTGACAAGCAAACAATATTTGAATCGTGAAAGGTAACCGTTTATAAAACAAATGAACAGTTACATCGATGATCTTAGAAGGTTTATATCATTATCTACTATTCTACTTGAATTGAAAATCTACAAGCAAATATGCTGTGACCAAATGATGCATCTGAGAATGATGACACGACAAATAATCGTGACAGTCAACATCAAGTTGCACTGGCAGAACCACGTGAGAATTCCTTTTATCAGCTTATGCCATGCATATAGACTTCATGCGAAACTGAATTGTCTTTCAAAGGGGGAAAAAAGAAAAGAAAGAAAAAAAAAACATGATTCTTTGACCAAGTATTAATTTCAAAAAACACGATAATCGTGACCCGAGTAAATATATTGACTAACCCGTAATCAATTCTCGTGGGGATATCCTCTCATTGGCACTTGCAGTAAGGGCCGCATCAAGGACGAAGGGAAGTGCCTCAAGTATATCCCAAGTAGGAAAGTTAAGCAGGGTTAAGGAATCATCAGGACCAGGACCGGATGCAGATGAATTGCTGCTTCCAGAAGTTGTGGAAGTCAAAGTTTGGCCTCCTTTGTTAATCTTTCTAAACATTATGCTAAGGAGTGTCTCAACAACCTGATGAATAGAGTCTCCAGGCGCTAGAATAGGAGTAGCAACAATACATTCTTGATGTTTTCTGTACCAGTGCTTAAGCTTCGGGAAGAAATCCATAAATACGGGAGCTCTTGAAGGATATAACAATCTTGATGGTCTATTGTTTGTTATTTTGTTTGTGAGATTCTCATGAGAAGCTAGCTGGGAATTGTACAGTGATAAGAGGTACTCTAGGGTTAAATTGGATCCCACTGGAGGACCATCTCCCATTCCATGTACCATGGGTGGGTGATCAAATTTCCACAATTTCAGCAGAATGATAAATGCATTTGAAAATACTGAATGAGAAGAAATCACTTCCCCAGTGTTAAGAGTCCACGACATACAGGGTGCAAGAGAACCGAAAACCTCGCAGATTGGCATCAATGCAGTTGCAAGCAGAGGAACCTGGAACAAATTCAAGCACAGTTTAAGTGGATATGAGATAAAAAAGAAAGAAGATAAAAGAAAATAGGAAAAAACAATCAATCTCGTAAATTGTTACCACTGAAATGGTGAGATTCCACTGTTTTATCAAGATGAGAAATCCATTGTGTCAATCACATTGTATTTGTATAAATGTACTGAAATCAGCATGAAATGAGGGTGCGGAGAAACAATATACTTGTCAGGTACTATTCGATAGTGCATCGTATGTCTTTGGCCTCATTTATTAGGCCATACATGATATTTGATAGGTAAAAGTTGTCAATGTGGAATTGGATTCATGGATATAAAACTAGAAATCATAATTGTATAGATGAAGTAACGTACCAAGCCATGCATGGAAAAAATCTGAACACAGGTGATGGATAATATTCCGACCACAAGAGCATTTAGAATTGGAGCATAACCTATCAAATGGCTCTCTCTTCCAGAGTAATCTGGAGGAACAGAAGGTGAAAGCAGTTTTGTGATCAGAAGGCACGTATGTTCCTGTAAGCAAAGATAAATAAAACAATTTATATTTCATGAACCAAGAAAACAGAGGGTGCATAACAAAAATATTATAATGTGAAAACAAAGATATACTGCTGTCAATCATAACCATTTTTTAAGCACCTATCTCCCTCCACACAAGAAACGTAAGAAAATCAAACATTGTCGTCACCCAAAATGAGAAAAAGCTGAATTTCTTTGAACTTGTAGGAAGTTACATTTTCTTGAAATCGCTTATGGCAGGTTTTTGTAAATACAGGTTTGACAAACTCACTCCTTTGGTGATGAGTTCTGACTGAGCCCACTTCTCATAATATGACCGAGTCAGGTTTGTTGTTTGGAGATTGCTGCTGGATTAGAGCCCAGCTCGTTTGGAGTGGCACAGTCGGCTTAAGGGCAGGTGTAACACCAAAAGCTAGTTTTAGGAAGAGGTACTCACCTCATAGTTATAGACAATAACAACCCAGACAATTTGGCAATGGGAAAAACCCACCTTCTAGCATCACTCGAGTAATCAGTAAATTATGACTTATAAATTTGATGTCCTCTACCTGTATACTCCAACCACGACCAAGGGAAGCTCCAGATAATATTGTAGCCGCAGCAATCTTCTCGTCATCTGTACCACCAACAGCAATCTCGTATATCCTCTCTATCTCTGCTAAACTTACATCAAATACATAATCTTAAACTCAGTTTCTTTAAAAATGAGCTAATACAAGAAAGGAACATCTGATATCACTAGCACAATCAATTTCAATTTTCAAAAGCATCCCCAAAAGGATAAGACAAGTAAGAGAAGAAAAGAGGTACTAAAAAGAATCTTCAATTGTTATTCTTATAGTTCCGCATTTATGTATTTGCCAACTCGTAAAGTTATCAGCGGATAAATATTGGCTGAATGCGATAAAATTACAAGGTAATACATCCAGCGAGATACATATATATAAATTTTTAGAATTAAAACTACAATCTACCTTGTAGCTGGTGTTGATGCCAATGCACGGATCAATGGAGGGGTTAAAGGCGACCCGCTCATTAATGATGACCATCCAGGCATTTGCCCAGAAATAATTTGAGGATGTTGATTGCAGCGACTTTTCACATATCCTGGCCATGTATACGCAGACGTGTCCAAAACATTTCTAGCTATGCAAGATTCAACAATCAGATGGCGGAGGTTTCCAGCTGCAAACAATTACAAAGCGAATCCAATGGCAAGGGATATGAAACGGCAGGATAAAAAGCAATCAGAGTAATAAGTATAATAGATCATTGCTCTCGTAAATTTGGCAAAAAACAGGACTTGCACTGACATGAACAGAATTGGAAAATGAAAAATAATTACACATTTGATATACATAGGCAAACTGTAAAAACAATAATGCAATTTGAATATGACATATGCCCATGACAAAGAGAGGGTGGAAGGCCAAAATTGAAAGAGCAAAAGCAACTACTTTAACATTTGTATCTTACAAATTATAAGCTATAGAACCATGATGAGATCGTGCATGGACCTAATCAGAGAAGGTGCACGGACCCAATTGTGGAAAAAACACGCAATTTCATTTGTGTCTGTCTATAAACCTATATCCAAGAAACATGGGCAAAATTAACATTCATGATAGTCATCATACAAGAAGCCAAATCTGGAATGTTATTATTCAGAGCATATGAAATGTACTCACAGCAATTGTTAGGAACGTCGTTCAACATCATCTCATTAAGGTGCTCATTATCAATGGAGACACCTGAGAGGAACATCATTGCTTTCATGGCGGCTTGGTTAGCCAACGAATTTATACATGATGGGGGAGTCAACAACTCTTCAAAATCACCCAACAACTTCAGGCTACAAACTAGGTGTTCACGACGCTTTCCCACAAACTCATTATGTTTTCTCTGACTGGTGGAGTTTTTTTCACCTTTACTACTCAACATAATTTCCTCTTCATCAATAATATTAACAATGGAAAGTGGTAAAATAGACAATAGCAGGATTAAACCAATCTCAATCCGAGGATCAGGACCCTCAAATAGATTTCTCTCCTGACAAATCCAAAAGAAAAATTTTAGACAGTGCAGCCATGTGACTTTGAACATTATAATGACAACTCCATGGCTCTACTAAACTCAGGATCTATATAGTAATTAAACATAATAGCCAAAACAAATAATTTACAAGGTAAATTCTTACTAAACTCTTGAGAGAGAGAGAGAGTATTACTTAATGTTGACCCCCAATTCTCTTGAAAGAGAAAAAATAATAGATAACTTTTGGGAAGAGTAACAGATACATTATGCTGTTTTTTCTAATTCAGAAATAATAATAATAATAATAATAATAATAATAATAATAATAATAATAATAATAATAATAATAATAATAATAATTAACTATTTCAGGGATGAAAACCATTTTTGGACAATGCAGCAACAAGTTGAGGTACTGTTGTTATTTTATAGAAAATAAGTTTACTCATTTTATAGAGCTTTACTTACTACTCAACCACGGAACAGGAGAAAACTTCGCTAACTTTTGAGATTGGACTAGGGAAATAATCACACTTTTGCTTCTTGAATTAACTCTTACCCTCTGCACAATACGTAACGCAGCAGTCCACAAACCAAGAAATGCATCCTGCCAAGTGGCTTTGTTTAGAGCCTGGAGGGCCTTCACTAACCCTGTGACACTATTCTGGATTAGAGAGTTTGTACAGACTCACATATATGGCTGGTGAAACATAATTGTGCAAAACTGTACCACTTAGAGTTTCAGCAACACCGGTAGCAGTCACAGTTGATCCATCTATCATGTCTTCTAAACACAGATCGATTGGAAGCCAAAGTGTTGAATTAACAGTACCATTACATTTGCCACTAGATGACATTGGAGTTGATATTATTCTCAATTTACACGTACGAGAAAGAACTCGCCAGGTATCGGATGTCAACTGCAGAAGTGCCTCTGGATAGATACTATTTGAACTCCTTAAAGATGTTGAACGTGCACTCAGCAGTCTTAAATGCTGGCTGAAGCAATCCCAATGCGTAGGCCTACAATCAAGCAGATGAATGCAAGCTTCAGATTATTGATGAAGACCAACAACTAAAAGTTCTAGCACATGCATCTAAAAGGAAAAGTGGACATTATCTTTTATCTTCTCAAACTCTTCAGCTAGAATGAGTAGCAGAAATTTGTGGAGGAAACAGAAAGAAATAAGAAGCTTACATATTATGACGGACCAAGTAAAGTATCCTGGAGGTCACTTTATTCCGAAAAAAATCACCAATTATTTCAATAGCCATAACTGTATTCATTCTAATCAATGCTGCTTGACATTCCATTTTTTTCCCTTCAACATCAACAAGGCAGTCTATTTCCATGTCTTGACTTTTGATTGGCCACCTTGATTTCTTTTCGATGGTGTGTTCTAATAGACCTTCATCATCAAGTGCCGCATCGAGTAGCTCCCATACAATTAAAAATATAAATTCAACAAGAAGATTCCCGGGTTCAAAGGATTGAAGTCCAAATATTTTGCGAAGTTGAAGGACATCATCAATGGACTCCATAATCCTGAAATTGGATTATTTATGTTGTCACATATTGGTTTTGACATTGTAATAAGAAAATCATAAGGTTAAAAAAAAAATAAGAAAAGGAAATCGAGGTACTCCTATCAAATTCACTCTTCAATACCAGCTCTTTCACCAGAATCCAGACCGACTAGAAGAATAATTCGCTAATCATTTGCATCTAACCAAACAAAATATTGAAGTTGAATATATGATTTACAAGTCTATCGTACTAAATAGTAATATGAACATACCCTAAACATGGGATTCCACAAGTAACGCATTCGATTTTCAGAAAACATGTCTTGATCTGTAGGTAAGAATAAACTTAAGAAAGCAAACACGTCAGGAAAACTTGTTCAGAAATCTCCTTGTAACCTGGAGAACATGCTAAACCAACCTGTGAAAACTTGTCCACAAGCATCAAGCGACATTACTCATTTTCCTAATCAACTTAACATCAAATCCCACTCCCACCACCCATAAAAGCTTCGAAAATATACACAAAGACTATCAAGCCTTAAATATTCAAGAGAGTCGAAAAACAAAGCAGACAAGTTTAGAAGCCCATACTTCTGATGATTGGGGCCATTAACCAGAGATGGCAGTGAAAGAGAATATCTCCGCAGAAGCTCCATATACAATCTATAAGCCACCGGGTACCGCCTTCGACTGAGTATTACCCTGCTCGGCAACAAGACGCCTGGTTAAAATTACCGCCAACAAAAGCCAACGACGCACCTCAAAAAAATCAAACAGAAATTGATTAGAGGAGCTAAGAGAAAACATACCTGTTAGAAAGAAGAGCGAGAACGAACAGAGGCGGGACGATGCGTACGGTGAGCGCCTTCTCGAGGATCTTCCACGCGATTGGGGTATTGTTCGACCAGCAGATGTGGGATACGAGGAGCTCCGCCACCTCGACAGAAGGAGTGGGGACGCCGGCGGCCGCGAGGCTCGAGGACAGCCGCGAGGCCCAAATCAGCGGCTCTGTGTCCCTCTCTTGTGCGGCCACCATTAGCTCCAGCACCCCGTCCCAGAGACGCCGCCTCTCCGCCGCCATGCGACCGCCGGAACCTGGATTCCGTGAGAAATCGTGGCGGAGTAGGTCTCAGTGCATACGAATTGTGGAAAATTGACGGCCAAAAATACTGCAACGCCCACACACACTTTCAGTCACTGTTGAAATTGCAGGGGACGTACCGGAGGATTAAAAGCGATGGCGCTAACTTTACATATATATTACTCAATTTTCAAAGAGGAAAATATATTGATGCGGATAACATTCGCTCTGTAAAATAGCACGTATTTATTTAGTCGCTCATGTATATATATTCCAAAGGTTTTAAAATTAAGGTCCTACTTTAATTATGAATATTTTAAATGTACGATATCAAAATTGAAGTCCAACTTTAATTATTAAATTTGATTTGATGTTCAAATTAAGTTCCAACTTTAATTATGAAATTTGATCTCAACTATTCTTTTTACCGAGTCCCGAATCTAAGATTCGTTCTCCGGGTCGATCGCACGAGGAAGGCTGTTCGGAATTTAACTTTGATATTGATAACACATAAAAGAAAATAAAATCCTAAACATACTAACGAGATAGCAGATTTGATAATTATCAACTATGAAATGAATAACAATGCAAAAATGTAAATCTACCTAAAAATGTGAATGAAACGAAGATGGAGAAGCTGGGGAATCGGGGATAATTAATTCAAGTTCTAGCAAAGTCGGGTTATCAATTGTTCGGTTCAAGATTGACACTCTCGCTTAGACATCTAGCGGTTCGCTCCCAATAACTCTTCGTAACAAGGGATTGAACATGGACGAACAAGTTCGAGCATACGACACAGGCCAATTATTCCAATCCCAATAACTTATCGTAACAAGGGACGGGTCATTGACAAGTGCGTATTTCAATCTAAAACACGTTGATTAGTCAATTACGACATCATCTACCTCATGTGAGCCTAAGTCTACGACTTCTCCCCTTTCGGTTCAAAAAGTCGCTAATTTAACTAGAAGAGTGTTAATCGACTAATCACATAGAATCAACGAAACCCTAACTCGACTAATCAACATTCAATTGTTACCAACTGCAAGATCGAAGTGTCACTCTTCGATTATATCAATCAATCAAGCAAGAATATATCAACCCCTAATCGAAACAACTCACATAAGAAAGAACAATTTCAAGCCCGAGAGATGCACGTTAAACAAGAACAATCATTCCCCTATCTCTAGCGATAAGATTAGCTACGTAAATTCAATCCAACACACATAATCAATTCTCCCAATTCAACCATTATTCATGAATTAAACACAAGAGAAAAGAAACTTACGATTAATCT